TTTATCAACTACAAGTCCGCACTTCCTTAAATTTCCTTACTTTTTACCTAATTCCCTTTTTCTTTCCTAGGCTCCCGCCGAAGACACCACCACATTCAGTCTTCTCATTTATTCCATGAGAATCTCCAACGATGCACTGAAAGAATTGGGATTTAACTCTTCAAGAGAGCAACATCTCCCCCTAGTGTTTAGAGTTGGTAATAGCACGTGAAGCATCCGCTTGCAGAAGAATGCAGATAGAATTTGATATTTAGAAAAAAGCAGATTCGTCATGGATGTTCATATTCTTTCTAAGATGTTGTTTAAATAATAAAATGGGAAACGATCGGGGTTCTTGGAAGGAAGTAGCAGCAAAAGACCTAAGAAGGGCTCATCGTGTTTTTCTAATTACAAATTCTTTCTGTGAGCCCGCCCCCTCACATTGTTCTTGCCACTAAACAGGCTCTAAAAGGAAATTCGGTTGCTGCAATTGCAAATAATGTATAGACTTAAATGACCTGGGTGAGGTACAAAATACAAAATTAATGAAATACATAGGTTTCATATGAGACTGTGGGAGGTGTTGATCTACATAAGGCGGCTCTGCAAGGGTTTTAAAGACTAATTTGAAAGAAAGACAAAGAGAGGGAGAACATCCTCTGTCTTCTAGGAACAGACTGCAGCCAGGCTCCAGGAGCTCCATCTGGACCTCCCATGCTTAGGCTCAAAACCCAAGTGCTTGGGCCATCCTCTGCTGCTTACCAGGCACATTAGCAGGAAACTGGGCTGGAAGTGGAGGTGGGAAAAGATCTCAGGCACTTTGTGTGGAATGCAGAGGTCCCAAACAGCTACTTGGCCCACCACCCCATGATACCCACCTCTCTTGACACATTTATACCCAAGGCAGAGCAGCTTTTGTTCTTCACAACACCCTTGATAAAAACCAGAGCATAACATTAAGGTCAAATTCAACAAATGCTCCCTGTGACCCAAATACATACACATAAGATGGTGATGCTGAGGATAAAACAGAGTATGCCCCACCGGGTACCTGCTGCCTGCCTCCCTTGGTCAGCTAGGGGTTTCTGGGGAAGTGCAGAGCAACAGTTGTCTGGCTCTTGGAAGGAGCAGTGGTTGTCTACATGCATATGGCAAAGATTTCAAGCGATCGGTGGAAACCGCTCCAGTAAGAGGCAGTGTCGTCACTCTAATCTCACCCTCCTCTCCACTGGTATTAACAGTTTCCTTGCTATTCTCCAGAGGCAGTCATTGCAAACTAAGCAGACACACAGCCCCTTTATTCCACTAATGACATTGTTGGGCACCTTATTTAGACTTAAAATCTCCACAGATGTACTGGCATGGGCATGGGCTTACGGGTGAGCCATGGCTTGGGCTGCCCATATCCTCATCTCAGAGTACCTGGTCTGAGTTCCAGTGCATGTTCTGATCCAGCTTCTCACCTCGGGAGGTAGCAGGTCATGCTTGCAGCGCGTGGGTCCCTGCTGTGGGTGACCTGGATGGAGTTCCTGGCTCCTTGCCTTTGGCTCCGCCCCATCTGTGGTGGGTTTTTGGAAAATGAGTAATTGGATGGCAAATGTGTCTTGGTCTCTTTTGAAATAAATACATACATGAACACCTATATTTTTTGTTGAGAATTAATGTTTGAATTTAAATTCATTTTTCAAAATTTGATATTTGGAAAAGACAGTGGTGTCTCAATTGTGCTGTAATACTTTTACCTTTTACACCTTGGGCGTCTTTATACACAGCTGTTTTATCTTGATCTTCCTAGTGGATGTCTACAAGTCCAACGAATATTATAACTTAATCCACGTTCTGGTGATGGAAATTGAAGTTGAAGCTTGGCCACAAATAACACCATAATATATATTCTTGTATTCTTATCTACACAGTATCTGCAAGACCAATTTTTTGGTGGGGATATCTAGACCCAGTGATTTCGAGTTTTATTAAGAATTAAGTTGTTGTTTTAAAAACTAAATTTATTTCTAAAAGCAGAGTTAGAGTGGTTTAACTCATTATGCCAACCTCTGCTTTATTTTTTAAAGACTTATTTATTATCTGAAAGGCAGTTCATCAGACAGAGACAGAGTGACTGTCCTATCTGTTCACTGTCCAGACGGCCACAATGGCCAGTACTGGACCAGCGCAAAGCCAGGAGCCGGGAGCTTTCGGGTCTCCTATATGGGTGCAGGGACCCAAGCACTTGCACAATTTTCTTCTGCTTTCCCAGGCATGTTAGCAGGGAGTTAGATCAGAAGCAGATCAGCTGGGTGATGAACTGGTGCCTGTGTAGGATGCTTGCACCACAGGCAGAGGCTTAACCTACTATGCCTCAAAGCCAGACCCTGTAAGTTGCTGTTTAAAGAGATTTCTACCAGCAGCTGCTTTCATTCAACGAATACAGCGGGGGGCAGGGGGCGGGGGGCGGGGGTGAGCATTTGGTACAGCAGTTAAGACATAACTTGGCACACCCACATCCCATATTGCACAGCCTGAGTTTAAGTCCCAGGCCTGCGTCTGATTCCAGCTTCCTGTTAACATGTACCATGGAGCAGCAGCTGTTGATGGCTGTGCCCCTGCCATCCATGTGGGATACCCAGATGGAGTTCCGGGCTCCTGACTTCAGCCTGGACCATAGTATTTGGGGACTGAACCAGTGGGGAGAAGATCTGTTTCTATTTCTGTATCTTTCAAACAAAATTCTAAAAACCACACAGTAAAAAAATATTCACAAGAAACCACAAAATTTGGATGCCTACCACGGGTCAGGTACTATTTCAGGCACTTGTGATCTGTTGATAAATGAATAATCTCTGCTCCTGTGAAGTTTAGACTGTGTGTGCACAAGTGCCAGCCAACATAGGAACAGAGGAAGAAGGTAAAGGTAGGCCCAGTGGTGAGCTGATTTTATGGAATGCTAGAAGGCAGTAGGGGCTATGAAAAAGAATTTGGCTTAAGAAAAAAGTTGGAACTGGGTAGAGTGGGGATATAATGTTTACAAAATGGGGTGACATTTGAGCAAACACGGAAGCAGCAGAGGGACCTACTCAACGGCTATTTGGGAATGGAGTGTGAGGGAGCAGGGGGTGTGGCAAAAGGAACCCAGGAACAGCGCACTTTCGCCTCCTGGTTGAGTAAAAGGCAATCCATGGGCAATTTGTGAGGAAGACTGAGGAAAGAGAACATTTCAAAGGGACCGCTGAGGGCTCTGTAGAGTGCAGTGTACAGGGAAGTGGTCAGAGCCCAGGTGTATCTGGTTTGCCTAGAACTTGGTCCACTTTGTGGGCATGGCCCCACTCCAGGGAACACTTCACCTACTTACATGGTTTCACAGGGGCTAACTGACCCAGTCTCCAGCTACCATTAATCCAGGAGTCATTCTCACCAGTTCTGGGGAGCACTACTCCTACAAATATTGGACTTGGCATGAGAGCTTGATTTTTCAACACTCGAGAGAACACAAATTAGTGTTTTAACAATCCTACAGATGATTCCAAGGTTGAAAAACTTGAATCTTTGTGTACCTATTGCTTCCTTAAAGGTACTGTCTCAAAACTGGCTGTGAATTCAATGTCAATTTAGGGCTTGGCAGGCTGTGATGGCATGTGTGGTGGATAAGGAATTCTAGGGTCTGACATTGTGCTGTGATGGGACCTCTGACACTTTCCGCGTTGGTGTGTTTGTGTCGCAGCTGCTGCACTTCTGCTCCACCTCCCTCTAACGGTCTGGGAAAAGCAGAAGATGGCTCAAGTATTTGGGGCTCTACCATCCATGTGTCAGAAGCAGCTCCTGGCTTTGGCCCAGCTGTCCTGGCCATTGTGGCCCCTTGGGGAGTGAACTAGCATATGAAGTGATCCCTGTCTCTCCCTGTTTAACTCTATTAAATAAATAAACACATCTTAAAGAAAAAAAAATGTATATGATAACACAGGCCTGGTAGAGTTTTGGAACTGATGCTTTCTACTTTAGTTTCCTCACCCATCTAAATCAATGGCAGTCACTGGTGACTTCAGAATTGGGAAAAGTTATTACAGGCAAGAGTGTGATTTCAATTTTGTAAGAAAAAAACAGAATTATCAAAATTGAGGTCAATTACCTATGGAATTAAGTGCTTTTTCTTCTTTGTGATTTGTTGTATTTCTAATTTCTGCAATAGGCATTTTTTTTTTTTAATAAAAAAAGGCAATGGATGGTATAATGGCAAAAAACTCTATGACGCTTTCAAGGAGCATCTGCAATCAGGAAAGACATGTGCAAAAGCAAACTCCATCCGTGATGCAAGTGGAGAACATTCTTGCATCCTAAAACATTTCCTACCCTTCCACTGAGGATGTTACAGCCGTGTTACACTGGCACATCAGCTCATCAGCACTGGTTTCTGAATAGAGCCATTTCACACTTGTCACCTTTGTACTTAATGCCCTTTTCAATCAGCCTATTACTTTCAAAGCCAGGAGAAATAAAGATTTTTCCCCTTGCTTTTGTGCAATCAGATTTTAAGTTTTAATCGACATGTGATAATTACATCTGTTGATGAGATATCACGCGATATTTCACCTTATTTGTGTATTGTGTAATGACTAAACCACAGTAATTAGTATATCCATCACTCCACACACTTATCACTTTCAGGTAAGGATATTGGTTTGAAAATGCACTCATTTTCCCCACCTGCAGAATTTCCTTTTGGGAATTCTTATAATAAGGACCTTTTACTGCTTTGACATATGCAAGCTTTTTCCTAACTAGTATCAATTCACAGAAAGTAAACAGTTTCCCAGAACAAACTAATTTGGAGTAAGCTATACATTTAAATAATCCAGATATTAAACAAGGACAGAGAGAATACAGAATGCTACAGTCCAAGTTAAGTCTGAAAGCACCATAGGATTTGGGTTTGTGTGTTCAAACAACAAACCAAGCAGTTTATTCAAAGCAAGTATAGGCAACTGGGGAAAACAAAGAAATTAATAAAACACTTCAAAAAACAAATGTAAATTTAATAATAAACATTATGGTCAGGCTGTTTATTAAGGAGGCAACCACATATACAAGTTCAGCTATCGAAATGTTTGTGAATCAACTTCATATGATCTATAAAGACCATGCGTAATGTCAAATATGGACACCTGTACATTCAATAAAAAGTTAATTTAAACATACATAGTCTAGATCATTCTAGAGTTATACAAACATCTGGGGCCATGTATGTATCTAATTCTCTTTCAAAAAAACTTTTTTTTTTTTTTTTTATAAAAAGTGATGTATTGAGATAATTTTAAAAAGCATCTGACACAATTATGAATGGTCCCCAGTTTACAAAATGTGATTTCCAGGGTATGAAAACTGAAAAAAGTCAACTCTTCAGAGAGTGTTTTATATTATACAAACAAGTTTTGTAGAAAAATGATCCAGCAAATGCTTGAGTTAAGAATATTTATATTTTTTTCCAATTCTTTACACTTTTATTAACACACTTACAAAAAATAACATTCAAACACTGAGAAAATTAAATAACTTTGGAAGCAGAGTTCACAGCTTTCTGCTTACATATAAGTGACAATTCTGGGCTGTTGGCACAAAATAATCAACATTCATAAAACCCTTACTACTATATATCAAACATAAGTTAAAATCATAGGCACTAGTTTATCAAATCCACATTTCTTCTGTAACACTAACCACAGTAAATCCTTAGATTTTCCCAAACAGAAAAACTGGCAACACACAAAGGCTTTCTAGTAAAAAGGCCATTTTTCTCTTTAGGAAACTAAAAGCCAATAGTCTGTGGTAGTACACAGCAGATAAAATAATACTTTACCAAACCCAGATGCAAAATATGTTTTTAACAAGTGATGAAATATTTTAATTAAAAAAAAATAGACATTTTTTCTGATGCAGCCATTAAAAACAAAGTTAAATAACCTGAATATTCCTTTTGAAATTGATTATCTAACTTAAAAAAGCAATGAGTGTTTCAGAATAGCTAAAATTCCTTTAAATTATTAGATTGCAGCATATATATATATTTTTAAAATGTTGCACTGAAAACTGAGACCTGTTTTTTTGAGTATATGTGGTTTTAAGAAGAGACAGTAGCTAGTTCTTTCTCTTATTACTTAGATTTACATGAGATACCCCACCCAAAGCAGATGTTTTTATCTTCCTCTGAAAAGCAATAGCTTTTAGTTCCTCGTCATGTAGAATTCTGGCACCATCCTTTCCCTACTACCCCATTGCTCTCGGATTCAAGGCTACAACTTCCTTCTTGCATTATACACCAAAACATAGAGTGCTGCTGCCAGCTGCTGTGGCCGGCGGCTTGCCCTGACTGCACGACTCCCTACTACCACGAAAACTCCCACGGCTTCAGTCACAGCACAATGGGGCTATTAGTTTAAATTTTATTAACCTGAACATCAAGCCTTCCCAATTCTTTTTCTCAATATCTTTTGCCAACTTACACAATGTCTTTGATTAACAAGAAATCAATTTATGTTCAAATCTCCACAATCTTTTGCATGAAATCAACTGTCAGCATTTTAGACCTTGTTTAAATTAAGAATTTAAAAACAGATCTCGCTATCAAAAATAAGAAGCCTGCTACAAAAGAAGTTTTCATCTGGTAATAGTCTGATAAAACCAAAACAGGTAATTTCAAGGACAAATGTAAGAGCCATTACATTGAGCAAGTATTTAACAGGTTAGAGTTGTATGTAGTAAAAATGCAAAAATTGATATAAGGCAGACTCTAAGTCAAAAGGGACAGTATTTTCAGAAAATATTTTATAAAGTTACTCAGTTTAGAGTGGACCAAAGTAAGTAGGATTTAGCAGGCTATGTTTTCCTACACATAATAAACCGTTATGCCATTTCATAGCAATAATACAACTGTCATCACCAGAGATTTTGTGGGTTAAGTGCATAGATTTTTCCCCCTCTCTCTCACCGTCAGGTCTGTTCCAGGTTCTAAGCACTGAGGTGTTGCTGTTAACAGTAATAAAGATACACACTACTACTTGCTCTTTCCCTCAAGGAAACCTGCTGAAAGACACAGATCTCTTTGTTCTCTAACAGGTAACAGCATATGAAGAAGCTGGCTTCAACAGCAAAGGCCATCTTTCCTGAGCCAGGAACATACAGGTTGGAAAGATTGTACAACTGATACTAAGCCCTTTTGGCAATCAACAAACACATATAAGTCTGATGTATCACCGTAACATGATGGATGCATACCATAATACTATCTGGTGGCGATGATAGGTGAGCTATGTCCAAAACTCAAGACTAAATGATTCTGCAAAAAAACAAATGAACTCTCTCAAATTTAGATATCATGTTTTAAATCTCCAGCACAGGTTTCTTCCTCTCATCCCCCCAATCTTGATCTATAATTTTCCTCAAGTACTGTGAAACACTTCAGATAATTAGAAAGAATGTTAGTTCTCATTAACATAATATTTATTGATGCTATTTATACAGTAAATTAGGTTGAATGTGAAGTTTTGGATAGCCTGACTCCACCATTTTCCTGCACACAAAAGTACTTTCTCATTTGAAAATGGGCATTTCTCTTTGGCATCCATTAGGTATTTGCCCAGATATCGCCTCCGTCAATTACCTAAAAATCAGCTTAGTTCCTATTAAATAAAACTAAAAGTGATTTCATGGAGAGTGATTGTATGATTACCAAACACATCTGATGTTAAGCGTCATTAAAGTGCTGCTTGGTCATCTCTGTCAGTTTGTGCTAGTTAAGACAGAGGGTTAGGATTTCATAAATCCCAAGAGTCTCATCTGAACAGTCTGCATGTAAAAGCTGCTTTTCAGCCTGGAAGAAGGGGGATCCATGAAGTTGAGAACTCTGCATTCTTGTCTTTGCTGGTCAGTAGCAACCATCTTTCCAGCTGTCATCTTTCATGCTACCGTAGGTTTTAGGAGCTGGCAAGGATCTGAAATAGAGCAATTTTATGTTACTTGCTTGTCTTTACAAAATACCATCAACAGAATTTTACAGTATTTATTTCTGAGCGGCATCCTGATCGAAGGCTGGGTCAGGGCGCCACTGAGACCATCAGCATAACCTTCTGACGACTTTCAGGTTTCACTGGGCACTATAGGATGTCTCTTATCTTTCTTAATAAAACCACTAGATTAAAAATAAGGAAAAGAATGTCACAGTTTTTGACAACGTGGATAACTGACTTATCTGAGTGGCAGAATGATGAATGTGATCATATGGAGCTGACTGCCACAATCACTAGAGGCAGCACGGGACAGTGTCTAAAAAGACTCGGAACTGAGGGTCTTAAGTACGGCTTAGTCAAAGTATTTAACCTCATAAAATTTCAATATTCCCTGAAAAATAGGAATATTTAATGTTATAGTGAAGACTAATTAGGTAAGAATAAGTTATTCAGCAACCGTTGTACTCTACTAATAAGTCTGCAGATTTAAATCACTGATTTTAGAATTGAGGAGTTCATGTAATTCAGTTTAATTCCTTTTGGGACAAAATGCAGTTCTCAGGCAAGTAAACATTTTGAGTTCAGATGTGCTTTACTGAAAATTATATTAAAATGAACAATCATCACAACCTAAGTGATGCTAACAATCTTTTCTAGGATCTTCTGAGAAGCTTAATCATTAAGGCATCCAAACAAATGCAGTTTGAATCAAGTTGGTATACTATTCCAAATAAGAATATAAAGGAAGAAGTTTCTTCAAATTGAACTGAGACTCAAGTGGAACACCACCACGACTCTATGTTCACTATCAAATGCAGAAATGAGACTACCTCCACTCCACCCACTTGTGTACACTTCTGAGCTTCCCACTTACCTGCGAACAGGTTGTGCAAGTTTGCTGCGAGGCACTGGTATACCCCCCGCAGAAGGGGCACTGGGTCTGGGCAAGCCACTTCTCATTGCAGTCGTTCCTGCAGGTCTGGTTAGAGTAGCACTGTTGATATTGCTGGGAGGGTTTGCTGGACCTGGGTTCTGATGCATGGGAGGCCCAGGTGAGGAGGTGGTTTGTGTGAGCTGTGCTGTTTCTTGGCTACCAGGAGAGCCAATGCCATGGTTACTAAATGCTTTCACTGGCTGCCGAAGAGCCAAAGGAGACGGTGCTGCAGGGGAGCGAAATTTGCCTGGAGAAGGTACTGTGGAGTGATAAAGAAAAATCAGTGCTTTAACTGTAAAGGAAACCACTGTTCAAGTTATGTGATGACTTGGCACGAGTATATCTTTATTCATAAAACTTTTTAATAATGTAACAAATGAAAGATACTTCTAGCCTAAAGAATTACAAAAGGTTAAGTGGTTAGTTCTATGCAACCAAGTCCTTAATCAGAGAGTTCTAACTTTGACAGCAGTGTTTTAGTTAGGCCAGACTGGATTCCAGAATACCAGAGAGAAAAGGCACTGCAGGATTCCTCCTCAGAGTCACAACTAACCTAGCAAACATTCTGGAGAAGAAAAGGCTGAACACCAGATTGTTAAAAACATGAGCCACATTTTCCCCACAAGGAAACATTCATATATACACAAATCACGCATCTGGTGGAGGCACCTTCAAGTCCCATATCATTGTGTGACTAAAACTCTGCAAGAAACTAAAACTATTTCTGCTTTGAAGAAACAATTGCTCTTTTGCTGTGCTTTACTAAGCAAAGAACTTATAAATGTAGGTCCATATCAAGAGGTAAATGAAGTTACAGAACAAAGATGGCATGTTTTAATGAAATGTCAATTTTATTAAGTTAAAAGTCTTTAAAATATTTTAAAAATTTGTTTGAGGGGCTGGCATGATAGCGTAGCGGCTAAAGTCCTCTTCTTGATCATGCCCGGATCCCATATGGGCGTTGGTTCTAATCTTGGCAACCCTGCTTTCCATCCTGCTTGTGGCCTGGTAAAGCAGTCGAGGACGACCCAAAGCCTTGGGACCCTGCATCCGCGGGGAAGATCTGGAAGAAACTCATGGCTCCTGGCTTCAGATTGGCTCAGCTCTGGCCATTGCGGTCACTTGAGGAGTGAACCATCAGACAAAAGATCCTCTCTCTCCTCCTCTCTGTGTATCTGCCTTTCCAATAAAAACATAAATTAATCTTTAAAAAAGAAAAAAAAATTATTTGAAAGGCAAAGAATCAGAGACAAAGAGGATAGACAGGAGACAGAGAGGGAGAGATTGAGGTTATTTCCATCTACTGGTTCACTTCCCAAAATGCTCGCAGTAGTCAGAGCTGTACCAGTTTGAAACCAGCCACTCCAGGAACTTGACTGTGCATCAGAACCCCAACGGTTTTTTTGCTAACTAATGAAGCCTAAAAAGAAAATAAAAGTATCCAGACATGAAAAACCACTAACTGAAATGACCTGCCTAACATTTACAGAACATGTTACCAACAATAAACACCCTATAAATGCTTGGCTGATAAAACAAGACCAAAATTTGTAAGGAAGTTTCACATAAAGCATGCTTTCTGATCATAATATAATTATTCACAGAAATCAGTAAATGAAAGACATCCTAAAGCCCCAAACATTTGAAAATTTAAAAAATGCTCTTTGAGGAAACATACTGATTAATAAAGACAAGTCAGAAAATAATTTGAACTGGCTGAACAACAACAAAAAACAATTGAAAAATGTGGAGGATGCATGAAAGGCAACTATAAGTTTACAGGTTTTAAAATGGTTTTACTAGAAAAGAACAGTGTAAAAACTAATTAAGCATAAGAAGTTAATAAAACTTAATTTAGCCTAACTTATAAGAGAGAATGAAATCATAAAAACATTAAGAGCAAAAAGCAAGGAAACACAAAAGCAAGAGAAAATCAGTGGCTCAAATGTTTCTGAAAATACTGATAAAACTGATGAAACTTAAGGATTGATCAAGAGAAAAAACAAGACAAAGGAAGATACAAATTAACATCACAAGAAAAACAAGGAATGCCATACATTCTGTTGGCAAGAAATGACAAGAGTATTTAAAAATTTCATGGAAACTTGGAAAGAAAAAGTTATTTAGGTGCATACTGCTTTTGAAATCCATGCGTAGTCTTTTCATTTATTTATCTGAAAGTCAAGGTTACAGAAAGATAGAGAGAGAGCATTTTTCATTCATTTTTCAGATGGCCAGAAAGGACAAGGATGTACCAGACTGAAGGAGCCAGGCTTCATACCAGCAAGAATAATTAACACTAAAAGTCATATATCAATTATTGTTGAGTATGCAGAACAAAAGAACTCCCAAGCACTGTTGATAAGAACATAAACAGTATAGATGTTTCAGCAAAAATTTATGTTTTTCCATAAGCATATAGTCATCCAAAGATTCAATTAGGCCATTCAAGAAAAAAAAATGAAATCACATAGCCACTCAATGAGAGCATATGTTCATTTCAAGATTTGTATACAATTTACTAATAACAGCCCCAAACTGAGAACTCAAATGTTCAACAGCAGGTGAGCAAATGGTGGTATAGCCATAAAGTAAACCACTGACACACATGACAAAGATGAATCGCAAACCTTATAGTGAGTGAAACAAATGCTAGACATAATATTGCCAAAGTTGCAAAACTCCATTCACACAAAATTTTAGATAAGGCAAACGCATCTATCATAACACAGAGATGTTTGCTGTGAGAAGATTAACCGGGAAGGAATACAAAAGATCGTTTGGGGATAACGGAAGTGTTCTGTGATTATCTGTGATTATTCTGTGATTATTAAGTGGTTATCTGAATATGAATTTTACTAATTTCTTCAGGTCTATTTATTTGAACTGTGTGGAGTGTTTATGGAGGTAGGGAGGAAGAGAGTGAGATCTTCCATCTGATGATTTACTCAAATGGCCACAATCATGGGACTTGGCAAGACCAGAGCAAGGAGCCAGGAACTTCATATGGGTTTCCCAAATGGGTGGCAAGGGCCCAAGTATTTGGGTCGTCATCTTCCACTGTCTTCCTAGACACATTAGCAGGAAACTGGTTAAGAAGCAGAGCAGCCAGGACTCAAACTGACACTCTGATATGGAATACCAGCATCCCAAGTGGCAGCTTAACCAGCTTACTGCAACACAACACCAGCCCTCACGTTTGCTAAATTTAAATTGTGTTCTTAAAATTCCACAGGAATAAAACTGATTAAAAAAAAAAAGTAGAACCACACTGGAAAATACAGGCTACTAGAGTAGAGTGACTGTATTTTGATTACCAAAATCAGTTAGTTTCTCCTTGAATAAAACTAAAGAACCCAGCAGTAGTCAACTGCCTAAGTTGCCTGTACCTAGGAAATGTTACACTGCTGGCAGGAAAGCAGCCAACAGTTGGCGGGCATTCTGAGCCTGGTTAATGCCAAATCTGTGTTAACTGTAATAGTGTGCCAGCATAGTCCATTTATTTTTAAAAAGATATGCAGGGGAATGTAGGTTGCCCAGAGAAGGGGGTACTGGGATGCGCCAGAGTGGGGGCCAATGACAGCCATGTCTGACAGGCACGTGGTGAGCTTACACAGAATGGGTCACTGTACTCTCAGGTAGGATAGGGAGGGGGATATTACAGGGTATCCACCCATATGGGAGACTAGGATAAACTGAGTAGCACTATCCGCTACCTGCTAGTACACACAAAAACTGGGGCTGGGGGAATGCCTGGCTGGGCTAGGCCACAGCACCCACTGGAGTGTTAAAGAACTGGATCTAGGAACAGATTCTATAGGGGATTTGTGGGCTTGCCTCTGAAATGCAGCACTTACTGGTTTGCATGACAGCTGAGAGTGGTAATGGGCTGAGCTGGGATGGACTATGAACTCACATGACACTTGTGGGAGCTGAGGCTGGCTGGGAGGAGGCCAGGCTGGGTCAGGCTGCAGCACCAACCAGGCACATGCAAAGTCCGAGATTGAGGGCAGACCATCGCCAGCTATGCTGTGGCACATGCCAGCACATTTGAGATCCAGGGATGGGAGGCAGGCCTGGCACGGGAACTTGGGGAACTCCCTTCCTAGGCTGCAGCTCCTGCTGGGGAGCTAAAGGGCAGGGGCTGGGGGCAGACCAGTCCAGGTAGGACTATGGTACCGGTCAGCATATGTCTGGGGGTGGGCTTGTCTGTGCCAGAACATCTCATAGGCTGGCATGAGTAAGAGCCAGGATGGGGTGCAGGCCAGGCCAGGCAACACCCACTAATTCACATGAGGGACAGAGCTGGGGGGGGGGGGGGCCAAGCTGGGCTGGGTGCTGCAAAGCCAATGACAATCTGGGACTTAGGGTGGGCCAGGGTGAGCCAGTCTGAAGCACCTACCAGAAAATGCCAAGACTGGAGGTGGACCGTGCCAGACTGGGCCACAGTAGTCACCATCATGTGCAAGAGCCAGGGCTGGGAACAGGCCTACTAGCAGAACTACAGGAACTCCCCTGTTAGGCTGCTGCTTCCACTGGTGAGCGTGAGAGCTGGGACTAGGAGTGGAGTCCAGGCAGGTCTGCAGCACCTGCTGGTGCACACAAGAACCAAAAATGGTGCAAGTTGGACAGGTTAAGCCACAGTACCAGCTGGGAACTACTGGGACTCAATGAAAGTCTTATCAGGCTGGACTGTAGCACCCTCTGGCAAACACATAATCTGTGCCAGAACATCTCATAGGCTGGCATGAGTAAGAGCCAGGATGGGGTGCAGGCCAGGCCAGGAAACACCCACTAATTCACATGAGGGACAGAGGTCGGGGGGGGGGTGTGGGCCAAGCTGGTGCCTAGGGTAACTACAGGTACTTCCCTGCTAGGTTGCAGCTCTAGCTGGTGAGCACAAGAGCCAGGGTTGGGGACATGTCAGACTGAGCTAAGCTGAAGCACCTTTAGGTGTACATGGGAGCCAGATGGGAAAGGCCAGGCCACAACATATGCCAGGACCTGCAAAGATCAGAGTTGGGGATCAGACTTGGTGGGGGTTGCTGGGGGTCACCCAGACTAGGCTGAGGCTCCTGCTGGTTTGTGTGAGGACCAGGCCTACGGCAGGCTGGGCTGGACAAAGCCATAGCACCCATTGGTTCACATGAGAGATAGGACTGGGGCAGAACTGACCAGGTAGTTGCATTCACTGGTATGTGCATTGGCTGGTGCAGGTGATGGACTGAACCTGACCCTGCACTGGCTGGTGCACACAAG